TTAAAATCTAAAAATATATTTATATTATTTAACTTATATACTTACGTACCTTTTTACCTGTGTTGTGTTAAAATTTTGATTAGGTACAAAATTTTAAATAATTTCAAAACAGACGCGAAATATTTCTTACTTATCTTTATCTTTATTATTATTATTATTATTATTATTTTCTTTGATTTCTGGCGTTTACATTTCTTTCCGGGTCCGCCCAGGGACCTAAGGTTAGAAAATGGCATCATGACACTTTCCACTGACAAAAAAAAAAAAAAAAAAAAAAAAAAGATTACATAGATAAAGCCCTTCGTAAGGTGTGGGCTGTACTTGTCAGAACAATTTTCTGTATCTCCTTGAGGCATGGACTTCCAGGAATCCCTTCAATTAGTCTACTGGAATCTTTTTCCAACCAGTCCTAGGGCTCCAACTATAACAGGGATTGTTGATGTTCCCATATGCCACATTTTCGCGATTTCTATTTCAAGGTCCTTGTACTTTGACAACTTTTGAATATCTTCAAAGATACATTGCAGTCGGCAGGGACTGCCATATCAATAAGGAGGCATCGTTTTTTGTTTGTGGTCATTAATAACAATATCTGGGCGGTTGGCCTTGATTGTTCTGTCAGTGTGTAGTCCCATAGAATTGTAACAGGTCCGATCTCCGTAACCGGGTCTGGGTGGTGTTCATACCAGTTTCTTTCAGTTTTCTTCCCGTAGAAGTTGCAGATTTTTCCAGATATTGGCCCACTCTGTCATGTCGGGTTTTATATTTGGCCAACACCGTACAACCTGTCAAGATGATCAATCGTTTTGGATATTTATTCATTTCACAATATTTTAGTATATGTGGTGCCAACCGGGCTTTCAACCCTGGATGGGTCAGCTTGTTTTCAGAGTATTGGATTATTATTATTATTATTATTATTATTATTATTATTATTATTATATTTTATTTCTGGCGTGAATATTTCTTTCCAGGTTGGGCGGGACCTGGAAAGAAACCTCAGGATGGTGTTCATACCAATTTGCAGATTTTCCTTCCGTAGAAGTTGCAGATTTGAGTATTAGCCCACTCTGTCATGCCGATGTTTATATTCATCGGGTGCCAATGCCGCGCAACCTGATACAAGATGATCAATTGTTTCTGGATATTTATCACAGAATCTGCATTTGGGGCTAACACATTTTCAGTATGTGTGCTTGGGAAAAAAATTTCTTATATTATTACTCGGATATTCAGACCCGGTTAGAAATGGCATCATGACGCTTTCCACTGACAAAAAAAAAAAAAGAAATTACATAGATAAAGCCCTTCGTAAAGTGTGGGCTGTACTTGTCAGAACAATTTTTGTATCTCCTTGAGGCATAGACTTCCAGGAATCCCTTCAATTAGTCTACTGGAATCTTTTACTACCAGTCCTAGGGCTCCAACTACAACAGAGATTGTTGATGTTTCCATATGCCACATTTTTGAGATTTTTTTATTATTATTATTATTATAATTCATTTTTGATTTTATTATTATTTTTTTATTAAGGTTAGAAATGGCAATGACATTTTACACTGACAAAAAGAAATATTTTACATAGATAAAGCCCTTTGTAAAGTGAGGGCTCTACTTGTGAGAACAATTTTTTCCATTTCTTTGAGGTATGGGCATCCAGGAATGTCTTCAATTAGTCTACTGGAATCTTTTTTCTTTCCGATTGTTGATGAAATTTTTTGATTTCGATTTTTCCTTGTATTTTATTCGTCAAAGATACATTGCAGTCTTCAGGGAATGGCATGGCAACAATTGTTTTTGCGGTCTGTAATCACGATTCCTGGACGATATTATTATTATTATTATTATTATTATTTCCTTTGATTTTGGCGTTTACATTTCTTTTTTTTAGGGACCTAAGGTTAGAAATGGCATTGACATTTTCCACTGAACAAAAAAAAAAATTTTATAAATTTATAAATTTACAAATTTACATATTTTATTATTATTATTATTATTATTATTATTTCCGTTATTTAACTTTTATTTTTGGCTTCCGTAGGGAGGCAATCAATTTACTTTTTAAATTGAACCCGTACTTAAAACTTAGAAAATGTTACTTATTTATCAGTTTATTTTAGATTTCTAACAAGTAGTCAAATCGATAGGAACATACAAGAGAATCCTGCAAAAAAAAAAAAAAAAAAAAAGAAATACTTATTCCCTGGAGAAAGTGAGTTTCTGTAGAAAGGACAAAGTCTTTTTCATATAACAATTTCCTAGCGGCTAAAATCAGCCATTACACTCATTGTCAACTTTCTCATAAAGAGAAGGAAGGTTTCGCTACAAGCAGACAATTTTCAGGACGGAAGTATCGAACTAAGGAATACGGCTCGAAATGAAAAAGCCGGACGTGCTCTTCAAGATGAGCTGGAAACAGGAGTATAAAACTTTACCTAGTGTCAGAAACAGCAACATTACCGCTCAAGAAGACGGTAGAAATGACGTGGCTACCTGTCATTGGTCAATAATAACATGTCAGTCATGGGTCCTTGATCGCTATAATTATCTACACTGAAGGCGGTATAGTTCGGGAATTTTCTTGAACAAAGATGAGGTTGTGTCCGGGGTTGGATTGAAAACGTTAAAATAGGGGTCAGGTAGAGTCGGACCTATGGAAAATGCAATTTTCTTGCGTCCTGCCACGGGATATGGTAGAATTACCAGCCAATTCTCCATCAAAATTCTGCGACGTTGTATTTGATCCGCTATAATTAAAAAGTCCAACGGTATCAATAATCTTCGTTTTCACCGCATAAACTTTCAGTAGTCATGTCTTTTGTCTGAAACGGAACTCTGACTTTTGGTTTTGATAAATAAGTCTAGAATTCTTCGAACGATTCTACAGAACTAATCACAACTCTTAGAACTGATTGTTTTTGCCTTCTTCTTTTTTTTATTATAAAAACTTAATTTTTTAAGCAAGTTTATATATTTTTTACTAGAAAACCAATCCTGGGTATGACGATAGACTACATATGGCAGCAAGGCCGTTTTTCCGGAGATTGGAGATCTTGAAGAGCATGGAACCATCTCTTAAATTTTGTTATTCCCAGGTCAAACCTGACCCGGGGTGGTAGCACCTGTAAGGTTCCCAGCTATGGGCACATAGTTAATCCACAAACAAAAACAAAACAATATAAATCTTTTTTTTTTTTTTTTTTTTTAAAATACCAGCAATTGCTTTTTATAGCAAAAATACCAGCAATACATTTTCATATAAAAAATTAGCAAAAATAACTACTTATAATAAAAAAAATTACTAACAATAAAAACTCGTAAACTTAAGGAATCAGCACATATGCTAAGCCACAAAAATCTCCTGAGCCGACCAAGCATAGAAATGAATACAATAACTAGTAATAAGTGCCAGGGAAAAGCGATAACAACAACAAAAATTGCAATATGAGCTCAGTTAAAAACATGAAATGATAACAGTAAAAGAATAGCAATATGAGCACTGGTAAAAAGGTTGCTGAAGACATTAGGTTTATAATACCCAGAAATTCATGCACAGATGACACACATTGGATAAAGTCGTTGGTTAGATCCAGTGACAGGACCCAAAGAGTGTGAGTTCAATACCCGGTTAAGGTAGTGGAGAACTTTCAGAGGGAAATTAACCGGAGATAACTGATAACTGACATCCATTAAACATGGCACGTGGAACTAGAACAGTCTACCCCAGTGAGCGGAAGAAAAGATTCAGTTCGAAATTCCAACCACTTGAAGAAGGCCGGAGTTGCACAACGACCGAAACGTTGTAATAAATATGGCGACAAAAATGAGGACAATAGTCCGAATAATGTAAATAGTGTAAAATATATTTCTAGGTAATTTCTGATACGAGGCAGACTGGCTGTGGCAATGTGGTTCGCCTTTTCACCTGTAGACGTTAATGTTATGTTTTTTTCAGGTAGTCGTTAGTCTGAAGTCACGGTGGAGTAATGGGTAGAGACTCGGATTGAGGAATCGGATAGCCGAGTTCGAATTCCAACCATTACATTCCTTTACGTGAATAAATCCTCTTTACGTGCGTATGAATCCTCTTCTTCTCTCCCCAGCTATGGGTAAATAACAGGACAGACCGGGTTATATTGCTTCTTCTCCCCCAGCTATGGGTAAATAACAGGACAGACTGGGTTCTATTGCTTCTCCCCCCCCCAGCTATGGGTAAATAACAGGATAGACCGGCTTTATTGCTTCTTCTCCCCCCCAGCTATGGGTATATAGCAGGACAGACCTGGTTATATTGCCTCTTCCCCCAGCTATGGGTAAATAACAGGAGGACCTGGTTCTATTGCTTCTCCCTCCCAGCTATGGGTAAATAACAGGACAGACCGAGTTCTATTGCTTCTTCTCCCCCCGGCTATGGGTAAATAACAGGACAGACCGAGTTCTATTGCTTCTTCTCCCCCCAGCTATGGGTAAATAACAGGACAGACCGGGTTATATTGCTTCTTCTCCCCCACCAGCTATGGGTAAATAACAGGACAGACCTGGTTATATTGCTTCTCCCCCCAGCTATGGGTAAATAACAGGAATGACCGGGTTCTATTGCTTCTTCTCCCCCCAGCTATGGGCAAATAACAGGACAGACCGGGTTATATTGCTTCTTCTCCCCCCAGCTATGGATAAATAGCAGGACAGAGCAGATTCTTGGATGGCAACTGGTCTACCGCAGAAAGAAATAGCAACCTACTGCGGGAAAAATCTGCCTCGTCAGTCATGCATCGAAAGGTACATGATCGCCTAAGGGTGTATCACGCATGGCACACGGCGGTTTATGCTAATCATTTCTTGTTGGTATGTGTCTGGATCATCATTTATGATTTTACAGACGATTCCGTTCTTCACGAAAGGAGGATAAGAACTGAAGTTGTGGCATTATCTCTATAGGTTGGCTTGTGATATCTGGATGTCTTGAAGGCTAGCGGAATATTATTTTCTTCTGCTCAACAATGTTCCTCACCGCTGGTCGCCGGACTTGTGGCCGCCCTCTTCACCTAATGGGAACCCCCTTGACTATTTCTTCTGGGGAAAATAGAGGTCAACACCAACAAGCAAACCCACAACACGCCGCTATGGACATCGTCGCCAAAGCGTGTGACTCATTCCACGCCTGCCTTGAGATGGTCGTCGCCGTCGACGGCGCTTACATTGAAAAATTATATAGTATGTAACTCTAACTGTTGTTAAATAAACTGTTGGGTCTCTGCATATACAACTTTGGTTTTTATTGCATATTTCGTTTTCTTTTTGTCAAGTGTCGGATTTTGCTGCAAAACCCTGTATTATAGATTGCAGTAGTTTTAGTGTGATTTGCAATCATCAATACAAGGTTAAAGCATTTTGTCTTGTAATTTTTATCTAGAAGTATTGTAGTGATATATATATATTATCTATTTTTGCTTTTATTAATCATGATCTAACAAATGATCTAGAAAACCTTATTTCTTGAGTAGCTTTTTTGTAATTTTTTTTACAATGTTTTATACACCGTTTTTATTTGCCGAATAGAGAAAAAAATTACATATTTTGCTTGTGGAGATTCATAATCGAAATTCTGGTTTTAATATATTTTCCGTTCAATGAGGTCTGAGGAGTCTTCTTGGCACCATACCTCAAGAGCAGAATTTCCATTAATTACGTCAATGGGCAATTACTATTCGTCCTTGCATATATGATCTGGTGTCCCTGCTATTCATCTCGAGGTCCCAGACAAAATCCAAAGAAGGATATGCATTGTGATAGGTCCTAATCTGGCATCTCGTCTACAATCTTGCCGTGTCTTCCTTCTTTCTTTTCTAAAAATACAGTGCTGTTCGATAAAAGTGACTCACCTTATGCTTTGAATTTAGCTCAACTTTCGTTTCATCGGAGAAGAGAACATTCTTCCAGTCTTCTACGGTGAATTTTTTGTAATAGTGAGCCCATTCAAGTCTCTTGGCTTTGTTGGCTTTGCTTATTAGCGGCTTAAACCATCGTGTACAAGATTTGTAGCCTTGTTCTAACAGCCACCGACGGACTGTTGAAGAGGCAAGACTAACACCTTGCCCTTCGCTTAGACTGGCTGCAATTTCTTGGCTAGTTATAGTCTTATTCTTCTCAACTTCTCTCTTGATTACCCTGCCAGTTCTATCATCAATCTTTTTCTTTCGTCCCCTTGTTTCCTTCCTTGGAGCAGGAGTGGCATCATTATGTGCCCTAAGCACTCAAGAGACTGTTGATTGCGAGGTTATAGCAATTTCTGCAATTTCTCTCTTAGACTTGCCTCCTTTTGAGAGTGCAATAATAGATGCTTTAAGTGGTCCTGATGCGTGTTTGTACCCTTTCATCTGGTTAGTGACTTGAGTGGCTATTTCAAGCTGTTTTTATACTGTATGAGACTTTCTGGAATATTCTGGAATACTCTAGATTTAATTTAAGCTGTTCTAGAATTCTCTAGAATATTCTTCTTGGTGTATTGTAAAATAGTTTTCAATATTTTGTCAAAAGCTCTTTAAATTTACCAGTTTAATCATTAGAATGTGATATCTGAGTCACTTTTTTTGCACAGAGTTTTTTCCTGAATCTCATTTATATCCAAATTTATAATTATCAATAGAATACCTTGGGGTGAATAAACTTTTTCCTAGGTGGTTGGGAAGGGGTCTTTATATTAGTAAGATTAAAAATTATTTTAACCCCAAAAACAATAGACAAAAAAAAGACAGTTGGCAGACCTACCGAAAACTGCTATCAATTACCTTGCGAGGATTCTTCGAAAAGTTCTTGAGGTCTGAAGAGTCTTGTTGGCACCATGCCTCAAGAGCAGAATTTCCATTAACTACATCAATGTACAATTACCATTCGTCCTTGCATTAAAGACTGTTGCCATATATGGTCTGCTGTCCCCGCTATTCATCTCGAGGCTCTAGACAAAATTCAAAGAAGGATATGCAATGTGATAGGTCCTAATCTGGCATCTCGTCTTCAGTCATTTTCTCACCGACGTAATGTCGCTTCCCTCAGTCTTTTCTACAAATATGGCATTTGCTCTGACAAGCTATTTTCACTGGTAACTCGACTGGATGAATTTAAGCGTGCTACTAGGTTGGCATCTCAGTCGCACCCTTTTACTGTCGAAACAGTTAAATATAAACGCCTTTTCTACTCCAACAGCTTCTTCTCTCGCACTTCCCGATAGTGAAACTCTCTTCCTCTTACTTGCTTCCCTGATAACTATAATCTTAAAAAATTTAAATATTATGTCAATTGATATCATCTAATGCCTTGATCCTTCTTCTTCTTCTTTTTATCCTTTTCTCAATTCCCCATATACCAAGCCTTTTCTCTTATCTTCAGTCTCTATAACCCCGTGCGTACTAGTGGCAGACCCGCCTTGCTTCGGGTGAAATACTTAAAAAAAATGGAAGATTACCAGATGAAAAAGTTGACGCTATGTGTTCAGACAACATTCGTCCATCTAGAGTCTGATATATACCAACAGGCGTAGGGTTTGTCTATGGGTTCACCGTTGCCACCAGTCATAACGAATATATACATGGAATACTTCGAGGAAATGACTTTAGAAAAAGGTACAACTGAAGCCAACTTTATGGATGAGATACTTCGATGACACCTTCATATTCCCGGTATCTCAACAAATGCATCTGGGCCGTGTGAACTCAATAAGACCTTCGATCCTGTTCACAAGGGAAGAAGAAAAAATTGATGAAATAATACGCAATTTAAGTTGGCGTTAGTTCATAAAAGTCAGGAAATATTCTTTGATAACTCAATAACGACGTTGTGTATTTATAGAAAGAAAACATTTTGTTAAATAATTCTGGAAACTTTGGTACCTACCCAAGAAATAGAGATTGTAAGAAACGGCGCCAGAGAAAACGGGAAATGGAAGGCAAATTTATTTATTTAAAGAGACGTTTGAAACATATAATAGTTTTTTTTTACTATTATTTTATATTTGCCTCTCAAGCCAAACAGTTGCTTTCCACGTTGGTAGAACTGACTACACCGTCACTTGTGGCATTTTTTTTTCTCTGATATCCGGTAAACATTAAATTTGTACGCTATCCCGACACATCCTTCGGTACTGTCAAGGTAAGACAGACAGCTTATAAATCAATTTGATTCATTTTTTTTCTTTCAACTCATCTCCAGCTGCTATGATGAATCCGTGTCGTTCGCTCTTTTCAACAGACTTCGTGCAATGTCCACTTTCGACGCTAATTTTTCTGATACTTAAGACAGACTTTTGTCTATTCAAATCTATCTCAGTCTTTTCATAATCCATCTATCTATCTATCTATCTATCTATCTATCTATCTATCTATCTGAGTCTTTTCATTATCTATTATCTATCTATCAATCGATCTCTGTAACTTTGTTTCTTTCCAAATGTCTTTCTCATCTTTGATTTATCTATCTATCTATTTATCTATCTATCTATCTCTTTCTCTCTCTAAATATATATATATATATATATATATATATATATATGGATCCGTCTGTTCATTATGAATCTATCAATCTATCACAGGCTTTTCATTATCTAACTTCCTTACCAAATATCCTTCTCAGATTTTATCTATCTATCTATCTATCTATCTATCTATCTATCTATCTCAGTATATTCATTATGTATGGATGTATGTATCTTGTATGTATGTATCTATCTGTCAATCTATCTATCACAGTTTTTCATTATGTACCTATCTCAGTCTTTTCATAATCTATTATCTATCTATTGATCGATCTCTGTTACTTTGTTTCTTACCAAATGTCTTTCTCATCTTTGATTTATCTATTTATCTATCTATCTATCTATCTATCTATCTATCTATCTATCTATATATATATATATATATATATATATATATATATATATATATATATATATATATATATATGAATCCGTCTGTTCATTATGAATCTATCAATCTATCACAGGCTTTTAATTATCTAACTTACTTTCCAAATATCCTTCTCAGATTTTAGCTATCTATCTATCATCTATCTATCTATCTATCTATCTATCTATCTATCTATCTCAGTCTTTTCATTATCTATCTATCTATCTATCTATCTATCTATTTCAGTATATTCATTATGTATGTATGTATGTATATATGTATCTATCTGTCAATCTATACCGGTTTTTTCATTATGTACCTATCTCAGTCATTTCATTATCTATCTATCTATCTATCTATCTCAGTGTTTTTATCTCTATCTATAAAAGCCAGGATGTGTGTGTGTGTGTGTGTGTGTGTGTGTGTGTGTGTGTGTGTGTGTGTGTGTGTGTGTGTGTGTGTGTACCGAATGCACGGCCGCAATTTTCGACGGATTTGCACCAAAATTTACATGCACATGCTCCAAGTTAGTGAGAAGGCCAAGACCGACTTTGCATTTCACAACTCCCATCGATAGTGGAAATAATCGATTTTTTCTTGCTTCTAAGGCAGTTTTCATGTAATTTGCGGCCAGAGTGAGAGCCAAAACTAGCTGCCACGAATAGGCAGGAAGATTCTATTGGCCAGCGTGAGAGCCAACAGCTGACTGACACGAATGTTAACTAGCATGCTAGCATGCAAAAAAAATCGATAGCTGCATTCGTCACAAGTGGGAAAAATTTAAATCTGCATGTCACTTTACTCCAATTGGCTCATTCGCTTGCTTAAACTCAACGTTGATTCTGATTCCGCAGAAATGGGTTGGGTGTGAAAAAGTATTTGTTGTTAACATTGTTTTTTTATTCGGTTTTTCCAGTTACGAGTCCTTTTTTTTAAAGCTGATCGTTTTGTGTTCATTTTGTTTAGTTCTGTTTTCGTAACAGATTTAATGTTTAGTATAGAGCTTAGAAAAAATTCGCAATGTGATATAGGCACGAAGTAAGGCATGTAGCAACATCAGCACGGCAAAGGGCACTCCTTTAAAGGCAAGGAAGGTCAAAAAT